AGAGAGAGAGAGAAGGAAAAAAAAGATGTGTGGGCGGAGGAAAAGCCTAGTATTTTGTCCGTCCTGAAATTTGATTCAGAAGTTCAGGATCCTGGAAGACAAAAAGCAAACGGAGGGGGAGGGAAGAAAGGCAGAGACGGACAGAGGGGCTTTTTTTTTTTTTTGTAACAGCGAGAAGAGTAAACTCACCAAATAGTCTGCAACCTCCGACCAAAGTAAGTGCGTTTACACGAGGCATGTTTCTAATTGAATAACGCGCTTATGCAGGCATTTAATGGAGTTAAATTACAACACATGTATGTCTGAAATGTAACATTTAAACTGCTGTAAATTGCTGCTGAATGGCCATTAAATATACTGTTTCAGAATGACTTGCGTCCTTTACGCACGGATTTAAAAGCGGGACTCGAGCGCATTTTTGGCTTCATTTATGACCAAATTAGGGGTTTCCTGCAGCCCCTTTTTTTCATATTAAACCAGAAAAGACTTTGCTTGCTCTGTATAGGATGAATTGTAATACATTTGTGTTTGAGAGAGTTGCCCAGCAGCTGGGAGAAACAGTTATTTTTCAGCGGGGGAGTAGAAAGCACATTGCCCCCCGTACGCGCGGTTTCGCATCCACGCCAACTCTGATAACCAACCGAGATTTATTCCCCTCCGACCCGCTTAAAGGCCAGACGGCTCCTAATTGCGCTCTATACAAGGTAAAGTCCTCATTTGTTTGGAGAAAGATCCTCGCCGCAGATTTTTGCGTGCCGACTCTGCGCCACCGTTGGATGTGCGCCAAAAACAGCCAGAAGAAAATGCTCCAAATTCAATCTGCAGATGTTAATGAAAGACTCTGAAATTCACCAAACAGCTCGAATAACAACTGCAGAGCAACAGAGGCGCGTTACTGCGGCTGTTTTAGGTTTGTATTTGTTGTACAATACGTTTATTTCTCCGCGTTTTAATGGATAAGAACCGCAAAAGGTAGAAATTGTGATAAAATAAGTATTCAAATGATTTGTTTGAGTAAAAGTAACAACACTACAGGTAAAAGTACTCCATTACAAGTAATCCTGCATTACATTTTTACTCAAATGTAAAAGTACTCGCAACAAATACAAGTACTTTAAATAAAAAGTACTCATTATGCAGGATTTCCCCTGTCAGTGTTTAATTTACCTTTGAGTAGTTTAATAAGTAACAATACTTATTTTATAAACTGATCATGTTTTATGTTTTAATATATTATATATATATTAATAATTAAGTAGCTGTTTAAATAAAATAAAGTGAAGAAATAACAATCATTAGTGCAGTCAAAGTTTAGAGTAGAATAAACGGGAAACTTTAAAGTAATGCAAGTAAAAGTACTTAGTTACTTTCCACCGTTAATTTAATCTTTAGTAACTGAACGTATTTCCCTCATAACAAATAACAGTAGTATTTTTTCTTGAACATTAACTTTCACTGTATTTGCTGTAAGTGATTTAATCCTGTATTTGTGTTATTTATCTGATATTGTAGTTGTGAAACTTAATTAACTATTTTCTTGTGAAATACTTCAAACTTTCATTTGTTTTCTATAAAAATCATTGAAATTAGTTAAATATTTGATTAAAAACAAGTGAAATACTGGATACTTTCCCTTCTTCGTGGTTCAACATGAACTTAAAATAAGTTAAATACAAGCTTATTCACGTATCTAATGATTGTTCAGGGTCTTTGCATTAAAGCAGGGAACTTTACTACCTTTAATATATTTTGTTAAAGAAATGTATTATTAATTTTCCTGCCTAAAGTAATGTGAAATGATTGATACCACTCTCAGGTGTGTCCATTAAATATGAAGCTGGAGCCAGGAGACCGCGTAGCTTAGCTTAGCATAAAGACTGGAAACAGAGGGAAACCGCTAGCCTGGGTCGGCCTCCTACCAACAGAATTATGAACTCATTATATCTCATTTGTTTAATCTTTGCAAAATACAAAGCTTAAAATGAGTTTTTAACTTTCAGAGGCTAGCCGTTTCCCCTGGTTTCCAGCCTTTATGCTAAGCTAAGCTAGCCAGCTGTTTGCTATAGTTTCATATTTAATGGACAGATATGAGAGTGGTTTCAATCTTCTCATTTAATTCTCAGCAAGAAAGCAAATTAGCTTTATTTCCAAAATGTCAACCTAGTAAAAAGTGAATGAAGTTTATATTCCCCAAACTTAAGTATGTTACAGACACTGGTATTGATATATATCCCTAGTTCTCCAATACTTTATATTTTGATGGCCTAAAAGTAGTTAAATTTAAGTATATTGTATCTAAAAGTAGTTCAATTTAAGTATATTGAATCTAAAAGTAGTCAAATCTAACTATATTAAATCTAAAAGTAGTCAAATATAAGTATATTCAGTTTAAAAGTAGTAAAATCTAAGTATATTCAGTCTTAAAGTAGTAAAATTTAAGTATATTCAGTCTTAAAGTAGTAAAATTTAAGTATATTGAATCTAAAAGTAGTAAAATTTAAGTATATTCAGTCTTAAAGTAGTAAAATATAAGTATATTAAATCTAAAAGTAGTAAAATTTAAGTATATTCAGTCTAAAAGTGGTAAAATATATTGAAAGTATATATTAAAGTATATTGAGTCTAAACTTACTGAAATCAGTCTGTAAAATACCCACCATTAATACAATTTTAGTTGTTGAATAAATACAGAGGACATGACCTCAGTGTCCTGGCTGCGTGAGGTTGCAGTCTGGTATCCAGCCTGTGCAAAGCCATTTATAAACTCTACACATTAGTTCATTTTTGGGAAAAGGTCTCAAGAAAACTAAAAAAACTTCAGGGATAACAATTCAAACCTCCACAGACCATCCTGACTTCCTGTGAATGACGATTATTGTATAAGCACATAAACTCAGGTCAACACTGATTTCCTTTCTCCTCACGCAGCAGACACAGTTTGACATCACTTTAAGGATTTATACTTACCTAATGTGGAGGGTAAATGCTCTCGTTGTCAGTAAAAAGTGGTGCTTTTTAAACAGTTTGAGTTAGTAGAAGAAAGGGGGAATAAAAGGAGATAAAAGAGACACTTTTTCATCTCCAGACTTTCACATTTGCTCCTTGATTTATCTGGATAGGAATCAGGATTTTAATAACTTTTGATTTTGGTTCAAAAAACTTTTTCTATAAAAAACTTAAATGTTCTGTCAGGGTTTTCATGATGATGTGGCTTCTTTCTGCTCTTTGCCACGAGCGCCACCAGATCCTTAAAAAGGAAAAGTGAAGCATTTATTATATTTAATAGAAAACAAAGCAGAAACTGGCGAGTTTTCAGTGCAGTTGTGAACTGTTTTGGCTTTTCTGTCACTTGGAGAACGGAGGAGGTTTTACTGTGTGTCCCTGGTTTGGTGTTTTTTAACTGGTTTCTGGCCCGTTTTTTTCTTTTTGTCTGGATCTCTTCCTGCTCCTCTCAGGCTGTGTGACTATGAGCACCTCGGGGCTTCAGGCCACTAACCGGCAGAATGTGAAGGAGCTCGACAGCATGAAGGAGTCCATCAGCGACATCATAAACCAGCTCCAGGACATCGACCCGACCCGGCTCTCCTTCTCCCCCTTCCTGGACCTGGACACTCAGATCTCCTTGGCCCCGGTGTCAGACAGTCCCGAGTCCTCGGTGGAGGAGCTTCACTCGTCCTCCCACTCCGTCTCCGGCTCCCAGCACTCCCTTGAACCGCCACCAGCAATCAATCAGCCG